GTCCAGGGACAGGGAAGTCTTATCTGCTGAAGCGTATCCTGGGCTCACTGCCTCCCACAGGCACTGTGACCACCGCCAGCACGGGGGTGGCAGCCTGCCACATCGGGGGTACCACCCTCCATGCCTTTGCAGGTAAGTGAGCGAGCGCCCCTGCGGCCAGGCCTGTGGGAAGGGAGGAAAGGGAAGGCAGGGTTGAGACAGGGCTGGGGTCTCAGCTGGATAATGTCACCCACAGGCATCGGCTCGGGTCAGGCTCCCCTGGCCCAATGTGTGGCCCTGGCCCAGCGGCCAGGTGTGCGGCAGGGCTGGCTGAACTGCCAGCGGCTGGTCATCGATGAGATCTCCATGGTGGAGGCAGATCTATTTGACAAGCTAGAGGCCGTGGCCAGGTCAGTGTGTGCAGTGAGGGCTGGGATCTGGTGGTTTCCATGAGGATCCTCGCTGCTAAAGCACTGCTCACTCCACTCCAGAACTGTCCGGCAGCAGGATAAGCCATTCGGAGGGATCCAGCTCATCATCTGTGGGGACTTCCTGCAGCTGCCGCCTGTAACCAAGGGCTTCCAGCCCCCACAGTTCTGCTTCCAGGTACCACTCACCCTCTTGTCCTGCCCTCCCCCACAGGGGTCTGCTCTGCTCCCTGACCCCCTTCCTCCCCCATTAGGCCAAGAGCTGGAGGAGGTGTGTCCCGGTGACCCTGGAGCTGACCAAGGTGTGGAGGCAGGCAGACCAGACCTTCATCTCTCTGCTGCAGGCTGTGAGACTGGGCAGGTGGGCTCTGTGAATAGAGAGGGGCCTGCAAAAGGGGACCCAAATGTGGTTACAGGGGAGCATGGGGACCCAAACAAGAGGAAGAAATGCTTCCTGGGTCCACAGAAGATGGTCACTTTGTGAATATTGAGATCCTGCCTCCCCAGGGCCTGTCCCCATCTCCCAGCACAAGGCCTGGCACAGAGTAGGTGTCAGGGAACTATGGTCAGATGGACACACAAGAATTCCGAGATATCGACACTCCCATTTCACAGATGCAAAAGCTGGGGTTCTCAGGGGTGAAGTGACTTGCCCAAAGTCAGGGCTGGAATGTAATCCCAGGTCTGACTTTAAAATCTAGGTTCCTTCCACTCTTTTCTTTTCCTTTTTTCCTTCCACTCTTAAAGCCTGTGGGGTCACTTGGTGGTGGTGGTAGAGGTGGGGTGGGGAACATTGCAGACATGATCCCTGCCCAGCTAGGACAAACGGTTGAAATGCTACCACTACTCTAACATGGGAGTGGACAGGCCAGGAGGGCAGATGACTTGAGCCAGAACTGGGCCTTGAAAGCCAGGTCAGATTGGGATGGGCTTGGGGGAGGGTAGTGGTGGTGAGCTGCTCTCTATGTCTGGGGACAGGAGGCGGGGAGGAAGGTGCACAGCACGCACCAGCATGCACCGGATAAGAGGAACGCTGAGTGGCAGAGCAGGGAGAGAGGGACCCAAGTTGTCCCCTCTCCTCCCACGGTAGTGCTGCGGTATCCAGGCCTCCCCGGATGGAGGAAGACTGCAGATGGGGAGAAAGAAACACAGGCTCAATTTTTCCCCCCAAGGCAGCAGGCCAGGGGCTAGAACACTGTCATCTAGATTCTAGGCTACCAGCATTACAGGTATCAACATCAGCGCCGGGTCTAGGTCCTCTAAACCTCTGGACTGTGCCCACTCAGCATACCAGACTCCCCAAGGAGCGCTGGGGATGGGAGGGTGGCTAGCTTCTTCCTGGGGGCAAGCAAAGGAAAGGGTACCCACCCATGATCACAGCCAACTACCCGCCACACACACACACAAACCCACACACACACTATGCTCAGTCCCATGTCCGGGGTCCAAGTGGAAAAGGATAAGTTGGCCGGCAAATCTTGCCCTCGTGCCCCTGTCCGGTCCCCAGGCCTGACCCATTGCCTGCTGCTTGGGCCATACCATCCACATGCCCCACCTTCCCTGGCATTTAGATGGGCTCTGCCCTAAAGCCCAGCCCCCACAGGTGCTCAAATGAGGTGACCCGCCAGCTCCAGGCTACGGCCACCCACAAGGTGGGGCGAGATGGAATTGTGGCCACCAGGCTCTGCACCCACCAGGATGACGTGGCTCTTACCAATGAGAGGCGGCTGCGGGACCTGCCAGGTGAGCAGGGAGCCAGGGCTGGGTAGGACCAGCTGGGGAGGCTATCAGACAGGTATGTCAGCCCCCAACCCCCACTCCTGGCAGCCTGAGGCCTTGGGATAAATACCCAGGCCCCAACCTCTGTGGCCATAAGGCCCTTATATTTACAGAGGTAACTGGTTTTGAGAGGTGTGACCTTGAAAGGGTCAAGGTCACTTAGCCAGAAGATGCTGGAATTCAGGTCTCTGATTCTAAAGCTCCAGATAGGCTTGAGCTATCCCTGTTACCTCCCCTCAAGCCCTGGTCTGATATGTGTTTTGGGAAATGAAGCCACAAGTGACTAGTAATCTGTTTACCCCACTCT